CGCTGCCCCCTCACACTGGGGGAACGCCTCGCGACCAACAGCGTCGCAGCGAGTCGAGTGTATATGTTTGCAGTCAGTCCAGCGCGCGGGTAAGGGAGCATTATACAAAAAAGGAAGCTTTGACTCGGCGAGTTAACTGGTGGGCCATTTCTCTTGCCCACGGTCCCGATGGATGCTCCCTGCAACCTACACACATACTAGAACATACATGCGTTTGTATACATATATATACACATACTATAACATACATACGTTTGTATATATATATATATATATATGTATATGTTCGATTTTATATGCTGGCTGAACTGTACAGTGTGACAAGAAAATGAGCTAGAGCAACTTCGCAAAGGGAGTTGCTGGGCCACTGCGCTGATTCATTTGGCGAATTGCGTGCAGATAGCAGCAAACTGGGATATGCAACCAAATTCGCATTCTCAATTCTGCAACTCTCTCATGCCCGGCTCATACATGAACAGCAGGCACCTTCTTCTTCAGTGTCTTGGAGTGAAGAAGTTGTTCCTGATGCGCCGATTTCACGAATAGAAGTGACGCTGCACGCGACCTGGTCATGATTTGCGCAACAGATGCGGGGGTCATGTCATCCGCTCCGCTTCAGACGCCATTGAAACCATCGTTTCCCACGGAAGCCAACCTCTGACACTAAGATTCTAGGATGCACACATGGAGCGCTCCACCCAATCATTCAGAACCTCCTGCAGGAGGTACACAGAAAAAGAAGCGTCGATGGCAACAGGTGGTGGGCAACATGGACTGTTGCTCCTGATTCGCTCAACGCTCTTCTACCTTCACCACCGCCTACGCAACGGAAGGCTTCTAGCTCCCCTCTCGGCCTGATCCTACTTCCTCAAATTAATTGGCCAGCTCTGGGATGATTGCTGACTCTAATTAGCAGCCCATAACCCTTCCCGTTCTTTCGCTCATCCTTGCTTACTGCCTCTCATAGTCGACATCTGCCTTCCCTCTACCGCGGCATTTGCGTGCAACACCTAAGCAGATCATGAAGTACGCTACTTGCTCCACAACCAATGACAATGATTCCACTTTCTAGGATGCTTTTACCTGGGGGTGAGAACAAATCACATGTTCACATTCATTTCCTTTCCTGCGGCTTGGTGGGCGACTTGTCGTCCTTCGCGGGTGCTGCCTTCGATGAGCCGGCATGCGCGTGGAATCGTGGAGGCGACATGGCTGGCTATTATCCTCTCTCACTCGCCAAAGGATAGCTGACTCCTGGTATCCAACCCAATTCCTGCACCTCTCGTTCGCAGATACAGGTGATTCTCAGTTACATGCTCACATGCCCCACTGTGCAACCTGCTTTGTCTACGCCGACGCTGCCCTTTGTTCTGAAACGTACGGTGTCTGTTCTTGTGCACCACCCTCGTACTTGCCCTGGACCTGTTCGCGAGGCAATGTGTGCTACTCTGCGCAACCCTCCCGTAACTTCCTCCACAAATCGCAAGTACCTTCTTTACGGCCGGCTTCTTGTCGCCGTGATGACTGCGCGGCTCTGGGTGGCGCTGCTTCAGGAAAGTCTCGCTGCGCTTGAAGCCACCATGTGAGAAGCCCTGGATCTGGATGACCTTTTGAGGACCCCGTGGGCAGGCAGCATGAACGACATCTGCAACATTGGTATCTCCCTACGTCATGCCAGTCTTGGTATCCGACCTGCGAACAAAAACTGGTGTGCCTACGAATTGCTCATCTCCTTCCTGTAAGCCAAAGGGCCGCAACATGCAACGATAACCTTATGAACATCCAATCAAGAACTTGTGCGGCCTCGTGGTTGCGCAGGCGGCCGGGATGGGGGGGGTAAACTTGATAGGTGTAGTGTCCCTGACTATGTTGAGAGCACAATGAGTCAACGAAACCCTTGCTGGATGAAACTGCACACGGAAACGAATCATCAGCCCGCGTGCGAGGCTGACCGTCAGCGAAGTAGTGTAAGCTGACATCCAGTGGCCGTAAGACAGATGAGCTGAAGGCCGACCGATATGTGGTGGCGGCTGGTTGGGCCATCCTTCCTGGAGCCAGCCGAACTCTTCGCAGCTACACATGACTGCAACTCCCCTGGGCGCAGGCAAACTATGCGAGTAGCCGGCGGCAATTCAAACTCGACGCCGCGGTCATGAGCGCACCAACACATGCTCTGAGAACACCGGAATAACAAGGCGCAAACCTTGGTCTGCGTGATGGCCCCTTCGAGAGCCCTGCCCATCGATCGCAACAAGGAACACTTAACGGAGGATAACAACTTGGAATCGTTTTGCCCCATCACGCTCGCCTCCTTGGACAAAGTCAGCTCGTAGAACCCGTACTGATCGTCATTGCCTCGGCACTTTCTCAATTCGATTTGCACCATCGCGAAATCCCCTCAACGACCCGTTTCTCGACTGACGTTGCTCAATATCTACGATCCCATATACATGTTCGAACTCACTTGTACATGTCAAAATCGTCGACTCCAACACTCGTACAACATTCCGCCCACCCACCCGCAACTTGATGGCAAAACTGAATTGGGCATCGACTCTGACTTGCTGGTGTACGTCACCTTCACGGAAAGAGAAACCCAGCGGAAGTTCGTATGTCTTTGACCACCTCGTGTATCCAAATGATAGAAAACAATTGTTTGCGGAACAGGTTGTCACGTGCGCGTGCGGAAACGCAGGCGTGAGGCCCGCATGGTATTATTTGACACCGTTGGCGAATGCGAGATGATTGTTTGGCGTTTTCGGCATGTGCGCGCGTGGCCCGCATACGCTCATTTGAGAATGCGGTTGCGCATGTATGATTTTCTTGTGAATCTGGCGGGCGCGCGTGCGCTCGCAAACATCTGGCAACTTCTTGTTGGAACAACTAGTGGGCTCCGTGGTTTCGACATGAAACTACTCAGGGTTTTGCGTGGTTTCGACATGCGCGTGCGGCAACGCGCGCACGAGTCCCGCTTGCCGTTTTGTTTGTAAGGGGCTCCGCGACAAACACACGTTTATTGGATTGATGCACGAATCGCATCATGCTATGTAGCAGAAAAGAACGGCGGGGGGAAGTGGCTTGGGTGGGTGGAGGAGGGCGGGGCGATGCCGGGATTCGCTGCGATACCGTCACTTGACGTATACACTTCACGATCGTGCGGGGTACTTCTGAACAACCAGAACAATACGCGGAAAAGGGGTCCGATGCATCCAGCCTCGGCAAGGAAGTAGAGTCTATTTCTCCCGATGGAAGCGGGGAGGAACTGGGCGAAACCCGTGTGATGCAATATACGTGATGCGCGCTATGTGGTGCCGCCTCTGTGGAACTACGAAGTGCAATCCACATTGTGCACTATGAAGTCGTTAACTCCACCGCTCGCGCAGACAACCCACTCTCCCACCCGCAACGTGTACTGCAAAACTCATGCGACCACGATTGCGGATTTGCTTGGCGCTGGTTGAAACATTTCTGCGGCCCCGTTGGCGCTGGCCGATGGGAGCTACCCAGCGCATCTCGGAGGCCGTGCTTGAGGCCGTGCTCGCGCTCGGGCACTACCGTGCGTGTCGGTGACTTTGGCGGGCGCGGTGCCATGATAATGTCGCAACCGCCGGCGGCAATGATGATAGTAGCGATGGTGGTGGCGACGGCAATGATGCGATGGCGCCGTGGAAAATGACGGTGGGAAGAAGAAAACACACGCGTACACATCCAAGAAGCCTGCCCAGCCTTTCGTTGAACAGCACGTGGTGTTCCACATGCTTTTGATAATCCGGCCTTGACGCGCTCAGGACAACAACGGCGACGCGTTTCTGGACGACATCGACACCCGCGCGTGGCCCGCGTGGTATTCTTCCATCGGGACTCGCGCGCTGGGCGCATGCTGGTGCAACGCGGGTGCACCACGTAATGACCATGCTGGGCGAGGTTGCTCAGAACCAAAAGTTCTGCCATGCTTACAGGAACCGCCCTCGGGCTGATCACCAAATATATTTGTGATGCTAGCGTAACCTTCAGTGGTTTTATGCTGTTACGCGTGTGAACGAATATGTTTGAATTGATGTTGACGTGTGCGTCCGCGCGTGGGCTTTGTGCTGATTTCGGCGAGGGAACCTTCAAACATAATTTGTGGGAATGGCCGAATGTGTGCGCGCATGGTATTACTTGACATGGATAAACGAAGGGGGGGGGGGGGGCGATACCCTGTTTTGCTTGACGAGTTAATTTGCACAATGCACAATGAAGCGAACTCGTATGTAAAGTGCAATACGAAAAGACGGGGGGTATACCCCGGGGGGAACCTACAGTACTTTTGCTCGAGAAAGAACTGTTAATCGAAAAAATCGTGGTCGCCAGCCCCCAGGCCAACCGAGGCCAAACTGTCGGGCATGGAGGTGCGTGCCAGAAACGAGCGGGCATGCTCGGACTGAGTTTTTTGGCAGCACCGTTGGCGGCGGAACGATCGCCGAACGCGAGTCAGCAAGCTTAGAATGCATTTCGTGGTGAACTTGTTGCCAAAACGAGAAGCTCCATCATATGATCTGGCACGCTCGGGAAGAGCTTCCTGCAGGTAGCGCTGGCAATTCGATGCGCGGTTCCTGCGAGCTGGCCCGCTTGGCGCGCGCGTCCTGTTAGCAACGCTGGCGGCGCCACGCGAAGTGGTCGCCAGCCAGCACGTTCACGAACCTCAAAGGGGGGGGGCACAGGAATGACAAGGGAGGGGAGAAGCATGGGCCCTGCACCAGGAGGTTCATCAACAAAAAAACGTTCGCACTGCATTGTGTGTGCTGGAAGGGAACCCGCGCGCTAGGACTGAGCATCATGGCGTCCTGGCAATGCCGCTGGCAGTAGGATGATCGCCGGACGCAATCCCGCACACTTCGGATGAACTCCTCGGCACATCCCTTGCAAGCAAGGCTGGCGCAACGAAGTGTGCCGTGCGCGAACCAGCATTCTCGAACAACCCCACGTCCCCCTTACCTGCATCGTCCTTCCTCGTAAGCTCTGTCATTTGCCTCGCTCCTCCTTGTCCCGCAACTCCTGCGAGTCAGTCGTCCTTCTCCTCCACCTCCTCCTCCTCCTCCTCCGCATCTCCTCTACTCCTCCCCCCCTCCCCTGCCGCATCCGTTTACCTCCGCGGGGGCAGGCAAGGGCGGGGGGGGGGCGGAACAAGACGAGAATACGCAAGGGTGGAAGTTGAACTCAGCTAACCTTTCACCAGCCTTTGACCAACCCCTTAACCCCCCGGCCAGTCCCCAACCCACCTTTGGATTTCTCAGGTTTGGCGGCTAGCATACCTTTCGAAAGTGACGAAGGCGGGAGCAAGGAAAGGGAGGGGAAGGGGGGGAACCAAAGGAAGGTCCGCCAGTCCGCCACAGTGCCCTTGAGGCACGAGTAGGAGTGTCCTCAAGCCACTTGTTGGTCCCCGTGGAGCCTTAGTCGTCAATCCCGAAGATTCCTTCAAGAGCCCGGTCCCCAAACTGCCAGATCGGATGGGTCGCGTCGCGTGGCCCCTGGCCCTGCGGAGCGTTCCGGCGTAATTTGTCCGGGGTCCAGATCCAGAGGGCCTCAAGACGGGCCCAGAAGGCCCCAAGAGGCTGCCCAAGCGGTCCAAGAGTGCCCCGAATCGCCGGGCGATCGCTCCAAGATGCCTCCGGAAAAAAGGCCCCAAGACGGCCCAGGATGCCCCAGCACGCTCCAAGACAACCCCAAGAGGCGCCCCAAGATAGCGCCCTATGGTCGAACGTCCGACGCTACAAAAAGGCCCAAGAAACGTCCAATACAGCCCGAAGAGGCCTCCACGGGGGCCCCAAAACCGCCTCAGAGAAACCCCAAGCGGCCCCATGCCCAAGTGGGGGAACACGAACCGACCACGCAAACTTTCCGCCTTAAGAAGCCCAAAGGAGGTTCCACGAGACCCCCGACAAAATCCCCACGAGGTCCCCGAAATGCCCCAGGAACCAAAAAAAAACCTCAAAGGGGCCCCAAGAGGCCCCAAAACAGCGCCCAGGAGGCCCCCGAGACGCCTCTACGAGATCCCAACGAACATCAAAGAAACCTCAAACGCACAACCCAGGCACGGTGGCGGGCTGGGCCGGAAGCTATTCGATAGACGTCTCCTCGCCGCTGCGCGGAAGCTCGGGGCCTTGATGCAGCAGGGTGGCCAGCTGGAAGCCAGCGTGGTTCAGATAAGACATGGTCACAACACGTTGCCCACAATCCATTGATTGTGTAACTTATGTGAAACCTGTGCGTCAAACTCTGACCCAACAGCACGGGAATCGCCCGTGTAATCGCGCACCGCGAGAACCCGCAACTGCCACGCCCAACCCCTCTACACCCCGCAGGCGCACAAAAAAGTGAAAGAGGAACAAATCTAATAAAGATGCTGAGGGAGAGGGAACTCTGGGATGACGACACATATAAACAAAAAAAGGCGTTGATAAATCCGCCGACCCTGTCGGCGTGTGTGAGGGGCTTTTCCGTTCGAGCCGTCATCTCCGTCATTCTTTGTACTCGTCGTCTCTGTCCTTCCCTTTCCCTGGGAGACCTCTTCCCCTGGGCTCCAGCCAAGCCGACCTTGAGCAACCTCGTAATTGAGTCGAAGGGAAGCCCCTTCCCTTTGATCCCTCCCCCGCCGGGAGGGGGGGGGGTAGCGACCCCCCCCCCGGGTCAGATACGACGCCCCCCCCTGGGACTCCTCTTCCCCTGGGCTCCAGCCAAGCCGACCTTGAGCAACCTCGTAATTGAGTCGAAGGGAAGCCCCTTCCCTTTGATCCCTCCCCCGCCGGGAGGGGGGGGGGGGTAGCGACCCCCCCCCCGGGTCAGATACGACGCCCCCCCCTGGGACTCCTCTTCCCCTGGGCTCCAGCCAAGCCGACCTTGAGCAACCTCGTAATTGAGTCGAAGGGAAGCCCCTTCCCTTTGATCCCTCCCCCGCCGGGAGGGGGGGGGGGGTAGCGACCCCCCCCCGGGTCAGATACGACGCCCCCCCCTGGGACTCCTCTTCCCCTGGGCTCCAGCCAAGCCGACCTTGAGCAACCTCGTAATTGAGTCGAAGGGAAGCCCCTTCCCTTTGATCCCTCCCCCGCCGGGAGGGGGGGGGGGGGTAGCGACCCCCCCCCCGGGTCAGATACGACGCCCCCCCCTGGGACTCCTCTTCCCCTGGGCTCCAGCCAAGCCGACCTTGAGCAACCTCGTAATTGAGTCGAAGGGAAGCCCCTTCCCTTTCATTCCTCCCCCGCCGGGAGGGGGGGGGGGTAGCGGGGGGGGTAGCGACCCCCCCCCGAGTCAGATACGACGCCCCCCCCCCGTACCGACCTTGAGCAACGTCGTCATTGAGTCGAAGGGAAGCCCCTTCCCTTTCCCTTCCCCGACGGGGGGGGGAGAGGAGGTCCCGGGGGGGGTCCCGGGGGAGTCCCGGGGAAGTCCCGGGTCAGATACGACACCTCCCTCCCCCACCTTCTCGTCCTTCTCCCCGTTCCCCCAAACCATCCCACAGCC